AACCCATATTTTATTTTTTTAAGTTATCTCTACACCCCATGTGGGGCTTGAACTCACAGCCCCAAGATCAGGAGTCGCACGCTCTGCCCACTGAGACAGCCAGACACCCCCGTTAACAACATCTTTCCACCTCAGGACCCGGACAGGACATTCACTGTCAAGCTGCATGGTATTACATTGTATGTGCGCACTGAAGTTCCACAGGCCTCTGGGCGGTCTCCCCTCGTGCTGTTACAAAAACTGTAACCTCTTCAGTAAAACCTGTTCCAATATTTTTGTTTCTTTCTCTCCTTCTTCTCCTTCTGGTATTCTCATTACAGTATGTGACACTTTTTCTTTGAGAGAGAGAGCATGGGGGAGTGGAGAGGGGGAGGGGCCGAGAGAGGGAGAGAGAATCCCAAGCAGACTCCCCACTGAGCGTGGAGCCCACCGTGGGGCTGATCTCACAGCCCTGAGATCATGGCCTGAGCCAAAATCAAAAGTCAGGCGCTCAACTGACTGAGCCACCCGGGCACCCCTACAGTATGTTATACTTCTTATGGTTGTTTCTCAGTCTTTGGATATTCTGGGGTTTTGTTTGTTTTTGTTGTTTTGTTTTGTTTTGTTTGTCTTTGTTCTCTTTGCTTTGCAGTTTTCAAGGATTCTGTTGGTACATCCTCCAGCTCAGAGAGTCTTTCCTCAGCCAGGTCCAGTCTACTAAGCAGCCCATCAAAGGCACTCTTCATTTCTATTACAAGTGTGGGTTTTTGTTGTTATTTTGTTGTTGTGGGGTTTTTGGTTTTTTTTTTTTGTATCTCTAGCATTTCTTTTTTTTTTCTTTAAAGATTTTATTTATTTGAGAGAGAGAGCACGCACATGAGCAGGGGGGAGAGACAGAGAGAGAGAGAGAGAGAGAGAGAGAGAGAGAGAGAGAGAAGCTGACTCCCTGCTGAGCAGGGAGCCCGATGCGGGGCTCGATCCCAGGACCCCAGGATCATGACCTGAGCCGAAGGCAGATGCTTAACCTACTGAGCCACCCAGGCGCCCCTCTAGCCTTTCTTTTTTGTTCTTTCTGAAGATTTCCATCTCTCTGCTTACACTGCACATCTGTTCTTGCAGGCTGTCTACTTCATCCATTAGAGCCCTTGGCAGGTGAATCATGTTTTTTTCCAATTCCCAGTCTGATAATTCCAACATCCCTGTCATGTCTGGTTCTGATGCTTGTTCTGTCTCTTCAAATTGTGTTTTTGCCTTTTGGTATGTCTTCCAATTTTTTCTCGGTAGCTGAACATGGAGTTACCAGGAAAAAGGAACTGCTGTAAATAGGCCCTTAGTGAGGTGACGGTAAGTGTGGGGGAGCAGAACTCTACCATCTGGTGATTAGGTCTGTCTTTCAGTGAATTTCAGAAGTGTTTCTCAGCTGTTTTCTCCCCCTTGCAGGGGACAGGGTGGCTAAAGTGGGCTAAGGTTGGGTATTTCCCTTCCCCTGGTCAGCCAGGCTCTGATACTACCCCAGCAGGTTAGGCTCAGGTTAACTAGTCTCCCCTGAGGGCAAATCTTGTTAAGAAAAGCAGAGGGCTCTATCCCATTTCAGAATGGTCCCTCTCCTGCCCCCTGCTGGAAGCCTGAGGGGTTTCCCTCTGATACTAAACTGCGAGAACCTGGAAGGAGGTATAGTTCACAATATTGTGGGGTTTCCCCTTAGGACTGGGTCCCCCCCTGGGGTTTTTAACCCTGAGTTGTGGGTATGGAGTCTCCAGCTTTTGTCGGTTCCGACTGAAGTTTCTCTACTGGTTTCCACAGTGGTTTCCCCTCTGAGCCTCTGCTTCCCTAAGACAGGACTTCTTGCATTTGCCCACTGGTCTCACCAGTCTTGGGGTGGTGGTTTGCCCCGCTCTTTGTGGATCCAAGACTTGTTGATTTTTTGGTCTGTTCAGCTTTTTAGTTGTCAGGACTGAGTGCAACTTGCAAAAACGGAAACTAGAAGTGTTCTTAAAAACTTATTCATAAATCACATAAGTTTAATGGATCAATTTAATTTAGGAAGTATGCAAATATATATATATATATATATTTTGTAGGATAAATCTCCAGACGTGGATTGTAGGGTCAAAGGGTTTGTATAATTCTGTGGTTTTAAGTCTTGCCGAATTGCCAGTGCCCCAGTTTACAGTAATTCCCACTGGCGATGTCTGAGACAACACACACAAATATTTTAGAGACTTTTCAACACTGGCTTGGCTTATGTAACTTCATTTAATGTGTTTAGCTAGGTAGATAATAAATCTGAGAGTAAGTCAACATATTAGGTGAAACTAATCAGGGGTGACATTTAAAAAACAAGCTCTTGTCCGGCAACTTTCCTATTTCAATGGCACCCATTCAGCTGTTGAGGAGCTTGACCACTTATTGTAGGAGCTAAGTTACATGTATCTTAATGCCCAATGACATTTCATCAAGTTCGAGACTACTTAATTTTACCAATTACAAAGAATTCAATAATGTACAAATTGATGTTAATGAGGCGGCTGAAGTCCGCAGAGCATGTGACTCTTAATCTCAGGGTCATGAGTGCGAGACCCACGTTGGGCAGAGAGATTACTTAAGAAAAAAAGAAATAGGGACGTCTGGGTGGCTCAGTTGTTTAGGCGACTGCCTTCGGCTCAGGTCATGATCCTGGAGTCGTAGGATCGAGTCCGGCATCAGGCTCCCTGCTCAGCAAGGAGTCTGCTTCTCCCTCTGCCCCTCCCTCCTCTCAGGCGCTCTCTCTCTGTCAAATAAATAAATTTTTTTTAAGAAAGAAAATGTTTAATTTTTAAAAATTTTTAAAAATATTTTATTTTTTTAAACTTTTTAAAAAATATTTTATTTATTTGACAGAGAGAGAGATAGTGAGAGCAGGAACACAAGCAGGGGGAGTGGGAGAGGGAGAAGCAGGCTTCCTGCCGAGCAGGGAGCCCGATTCGGGGCTCCATCCCAGGGCCCTGGGATCATGACCTGAGCTGAAGGCAGACGCTTAACGACTGAGCCACCCAGGCGCCCCAAGATTTTATTTTTAAGTAACCTCTACACCCAATGTGGAGCTCAAATGCATATCCCTGAGACGAAGAGTCGTATGCTCCATTGAGCCAGCCAGACACCCTAAGTCCCTAAATGAAATGTTTTAAACAAAACCAAACTGGTGTCAATGGAAATAATCTGGTTTTAACTATCTCATTAACTCAAATCTGCTATTTTATTTTTTTTAAGGAAATTATGAATTATAATATCCTGTGACAGGGGCGCCTGGGTAGTTCACTTGGTTAAGCATCTGCCTTTGGCTCAGGTCATGATCTTGGGGTTCTGGAATTGAGCCCCACGTCAGGCTCCCTTGAGCCCCTTGAGCCCCTTGTCGTCTCCCTCTCCCTCTGTTCCTCCCCCCCGCTTGTGCTCTCTCTCAAATGAATAAGAAATCTTTAAAAAAATATCCTGTGACATAACACCTTTACTTTTAACAGAATACACTTGTGAATGGATAAGCCTTTGAAATAAAGAGCAATCTGTACGAGTGAGATGTCAACCATCAGACATAATCCAATAATATAGTTCAATGGCTCAGAAGCCCTCGCCAGAGAGAGTCTGAGTTCAAATCCCTTCTGGGCCACTTAGGGAACTCTTTGTAGGTTGAATTACTTGCAAATTACTTCACAAAACTTCAACTCCTTCATAGATTGATGTGAAGATTAGATAAAATAACCAGATAAAGGTGCTTATCACACTGCTTGGAACGCAGTAATCATTGGTAAATGATTCCCTAAAGGAAGGTTCCCACATTGCTTATCATACTTGAATTTTTTTCATGTCAAATATTCTGATTCTTATTTTTTTGGCTCAAATGCCAACAATTCCATGAAGACTCTCCAAACTCCTCAAAAACACGTTGCCCTCTTCTCAGTATTCCCATGAAATACTAAGTATGAAAATGACAACGCACAGGGTTGTTTTGGGTTTTTTCTTACAACACACTGTCTGCATGCAATTGTTTAATTAATGTAATCTGCAACACACTATTGTGTATTTAATTTACTCTCTAACCTAGTTTTTCCAAATTTTTATTCTCCATTTTTCCAATTCTTTTTTCTTTTTTCTTTTTTTAAAGTTTTTTTTTTTTTAATTTATTTATTTGAGACAGAGAGAACGAGAGACAGAGAGCATGAGAGGGAGGAGGGTCAGAGGGAGAAGCAGACTCCCCGCCGAGCAGGGAGCCCGATGTGGGACTCGATCCCGGGACTCCAGGATCATGACCTGAGCCGAAGGCAGTCGCTTAACCAACTGAGCCACCCAGGCGCCCCTCCATTTTTCCAATTCTTAAGAATTTCAGAGAAAGCATGCTCAAATTTATTTTGTCCTCCCCACCCCACACCACACTGTAGTCAATGTAAGGCATAGCATTCAATACTTTTATTTTTCAATAAATAGTTTTAAATCAATTATATGTGAAAGTTCCCTCAGGATCTATATGTATTAAAAAACAGACCCTTGTCTTTTATGCTCCTAGTTCCTAGGTCATATGGCCTCCATTATATTTTCTTCATTTAGGGATGTGCAGATGGTATAAAATCCACTTTTTAGAGCAAATTCATTTTGTATATCTGAAATTTCCCATTTAAGGTAGTCCTAAAAAAAAAAAAACTGAGATCTGATTTAATCACAATTCTGACAGTAAGCAGAACATATATTTAAATAGCTAACAGCTTCCTACCTGTCATCCCCATAGAGAAAGACAAAACAAAAAAAACAACCTAGGCTCTCAAAACAGTATTTCAGGGGCACTTGGGTGGCTCAGTTGATGAAGCGTCTGCCTTCGGGGCTCCATGCTCAGGAGGGAGTCTGCTTGTCCCTCTCCTTCTGCCTGCCACTCCCCCTGCTTGTGTGCTCTCTGTCAAATAAATAAAATCTTTTAAAAAACCCCAATATTTCTGTAACGAGAACGTAAGAATATTGAATCCTAATTAAAGAGAGACAGAACACTGTAACACCAATTTTATCCAGTGTAAGAAAAATTTTAAGCTTTATTTTGATAAACATTTCAGATTCCCTCTATCACAGCGTATCAATAAGCAAAATGTACATATACTGATTTTATACCTCATGTCAAGTCCCAAATTCCCAATCCTAGGTAAGCAAGTTGCAAAATACAAGTGCCGATAATTTAACTATAGGTAGTATTTTTAACAAAAATAAGTGTTCAGCACTTTAAGTGAAATGAGGCTTTAATCAAAAAGAGACTTAATTCCACAGGGTGTCTTTTTTTCAACAGTAATTAGTTCAATCAAGTCTGTGATTCCAAGCTCGAGTGACAGTGTTATGTTTGAAGCAGACAAGAAAAGGCAATCAACTCTATAGTGGTATATTACAATATGTGCTATATTTTTGGACAAACTCTACCTGCATTCAATTTTTAGGACTTGTTTTGGAGTCTAACGAAACAAGAATTAGAGGGAAGAGACATTATGATACTGGTGGTCTTTGATCAACTTCCCACACTAACTGAATCACCACCAGCAGACTTCCTTCAGCTACAACTTTAAGGAACACACAAATTTTACCCAAAGAAAATTCTGTACTTCCAGTTTTAGAAAGCAGACAGTTCTATGAAGAAGCAACCATTTAAATATCGGAGTACACACACTTAAGTTTTTACAACTTCATGCCTTAAGTTTTGATTTCAGAAGTATCATTCCATGGACCCAGCATCAGATATTTACACGTGTTTTATACAATATAATTTTAGAAACCATAAGTTGCACAAAATAATCATAACATTGTTATCAAATTCAAGTTTCCAGTGATCTTAAAAAAGACAAATTATAACTGTTTTTGCTCAGCTGAGATACCCAGTTATGGTTATTATCTAGAAAATTCTAAATTTATGTGAAAAAAGTAATCAAAGAAAATCTGTAACTTTGATAATTTTCAACTTTTAAAATGCATAGCTAAAAATAAATAAAAGGGCTCCTCTGGCAGTGAGTAACTGAGTCAAGGAGCTTCACAAACCCTAAGCCACTCTTGGAAGCCATTTTAGGTTTTACATAATTTCCAGTCTTAATACCAGTATTTGAATTCAGATAAAAGACATGACCTTTGGAAGTCCTAGGCATCAGAAATGGCACTTTTGGACAAGAATCACAACTAGAGGCTGGAGATAAAAATGGATCTTAGCACAATTTCTCTCAAAGATGGGGAATCCCATGTAATCCATGTACAACAGAAGCAGTAGTTCAGAAATCTTGGGAAGCTCCAATTTCTTTAGCTATTTTTGTTTTACTAAACAATCTAAAGTAAGCATTATATTTACTTTTAAGAACAAAGGAAAACACAAAACAAGAAAAAGGCAGGATGTAGCATTTTAGTAGGAGTCCAGAGTGGAGCAAAGTTCTTTTCCTCCCTTGGCTTTGGGCACATTGTCTCGCCTTTTTGTTCTCCACTTTGTTACAAAAAAACAAAACCAAATCTCTGCCCAAAGCAGTCAGACTTGAGAACACTGTAGGGTTTGCATGTGATTTCCCATCCTAGATCCTCCCTGAAATCTAAATAAATATTTCAATGAAAACTTTTCTCCCGTCTGAGCCACTATATATATAATTTATCAGGAAAGTGGGGGAAGGCAGCTAAAAATCACTGGCCGCTGCCAGCTTCCTCAGTCTGTCCTGTTTGGGTGGTTTTCTTTTAATCATTTTAATTTTTTTAGTATGATAAGAACAAAAACTGCGGCTGGGAATTCACACAGTTCAGGAATATGTGGAAAGAAAATTTACCACAGTCCTTAAGATTCATATAAATGCTCCCAAATCAAGTATTAGAAAGCCGCTAATTAGCAGTGAAAATTATTAGCCACTCAAATTACAATGGCAATGTTTGCTGAGCTGTTTTTATGAAAGCGTCCCCTTGTATTCTATAAGGACCCAAGTATTTGAGTCCACAAATTAGCCACTGGCAGAAGGAATTCTTTTGACCGAAATTTACCCTAAAACCGATGTTCTCAGTTCCTTTCTTTTCCCGAAATTGTTCGATCACATTTTAAGTTGGGGAAGTGTATGAAGAAGGGTATTTTGTATGGCACTGTACTCTTTAAGAGGACCTAACATTTTAGTGAACTGGGAAACCTCACAACATACTTAAACTCTACATATTTATAGATACGATTTCTCCGGACTGCATAATATAGACTGGAAGAAAGTGTGTTTTGACCCAAAAGGATACCCTGAAATGCTGTAGTGTGACAATATATTCATTAGAGAGCATAATTTAAAAGGAAAGTGTATGTTTTAATAATTCCAATGTTCTGTTATTTGGGCTTAATTTTAACTTTTTTTTCTTTTTCCTTTTGATTCTGCATTTCTATTTGAGAGGGCGTCTTTTATTTTTAAGCTGTGTTTAAAACTATAAAGAATATGCTAATGCAACGTAATATAAATATAAATAATATATAAGCAATATATACGCATACATAGACACAGCGCCATGGGCATCAGACCACTGACGTTGTACTTTCAGGGTTCACACGAATAAGTCTGGATGCATTCCTCAGGTCCTGGAGTTGCTTGGCGGGTTTCCCCACACCTTCTTCAAATCTTTTCTCCACCACAGGGAGGACGGTCTCATAGAGAAAGGATGCATTCTGTCTGATAAAAGCCTTTTTCTCCGGATCCTGCTCACACCGAAGGCTGTAATCCACATGCTGCACGGCAACCAAAATGATTTCCACCAGGCTCTCCAAAAGTACCATGTGCAGCTCTGGGAAATACAGCTTCAGGGCTTCTTCCAAGAAACCCATGGTCTGTTTGGTGAAGGCAACCACGGTGTAACTCAGGTTCACCCAGCAGTCATCCCCGGTGTACTGCTCAAAGTTTCGGACCCCACAAGTCTTCATCTCCTCTTTGAGCTTGCCCAGGGCCTCTGGGGTCATCAAGTTCATCCTCCTCCACATCTCCTCAGAGTTGCGATGCTTAGTGGCTTCGATGATGATTTCTTTGTAACTGTGCAAGGCTCCTTGGATGTCTTTCACCAGAAGGGCATGGATGATGAAGGTGAGGTCGAGTCCGATGTCACCCAGTTGCTGACAATGCTCCTTTGCCACTTTCACACACTCAGCCGCGGTAGAGAGGCTCTCCTTACTATCAAACACCTGCTTGCTAAAAGCATCCACGAACATGCCCATGGCCGACCTCGCCCAGACCACAAAGGCAGAGTAGCAGCCACTGTCAGTGCCTGCGAAATCCGTCTCAAATTCCCGGGCAGTCTCAAGAAGGCTGGTGAAGAAGACATGGCACAGCTTATGAATGTAGAGTAAGGTGGCGCCTTCGATGCGAAGCTGACGAATTGCAGTGTGCACAGCTGCTGCCCTGTTTCTCAAAAACAGCTCACAAGCCTTTGTGCACTGGCCAAGCCGGATTAGTTGAGAAACTGCCCTTCGAGTAGCCTTGGGACCACCTCTCAGGGAACGATCTGGTGAGAGCTCAAACATGAGCACCTCGGTGAGCTGCCGGACCCGCTCATCCACTTTGGCCCTTAGTTCTTTTACAGGAGGTGGACTGGGCTTATCCTCCAGGTAATGGTTCAACTTATCCAGCAGGTCAACGGCTCCTTCAAAGTCCCTCTGGGCAATACAGACATCCAGGTCTTCAGGCAACTCCTGGATCCATTCCATTGAGAGATCCACCTTCTCTTCTTCTACCTCAGGAATAGCTGGTTCGTCGTCGTCTTCATCCTCAAATGGGTTACTGGCCTTGGAAGTCACCTGGGGCGGTCCTCGAGGGGCCGCGGCCTCCTCCTGCTCCCTTCGTCTTTTTTCACTGAGGGCCCTCTTGGTTTCCTCCAGCACTTCCAGCCACTCTCGTTTGATTTTAGCATTTTCCGCCTGAAAAATACGGCTCTCGGGAAACATTAGCAGCTTGAACATGTCCTTCATGGGCGGGTTGTCCTTGACATTGACCACGGCCAAACCATCCAGGGGATAGAGGGCGTTGTAGCGATACATCCCCCGCCGCTGTGGCAGCCAGGTGGCCACCAGCAAACAGTCGTTCATGAGAAAGCCGTGCACCCGCTGCAGTTGGGCCATGTGGTCAGCCTCGTATTCCACCAGGTCCCCGTTGTACACCAGGTACTGCCCCGGCGTCTCCAGCAGATGCCTGCAGCCTTCCACCTTCTCGAGCAGGGTGGTAAGAGTGCGCTGCTTCCCTTCCTCGCCCTGGCCCGAACTGTCGCGGGAGGCACCCCCGGGAGTGGGAAAAAAGCCAGTCTGGCCCCGCAGGTGGTCTCGGCCCCCCGCGCCACCTCCCCCTTCCTCCCCTCCGGAGGCCGCAGCAGCGCCAGCGGCGGCGGCAGCCGGCAGCAGGGTAAGCGGGATGCTCTCCAGGCTGCTCTTCTGCTCGGTCAGCAGATGGCTGAGCTGATACATCTCGCTCTCCAGGTAGGAGATCTCGCGAGCCGTCTCTATGAACTGCCGGTAGTTCTGGTAGACGTTGCGCTTCAGGTTCTGCGCCGTCTCCTCCGCCAGCGCCTGGATGCGCTGCCGGTGCTCCTGCAGGTCCCGGTCCCCGTCCGACTGCTGCGAGAGCTGCTTCACGTACAGCCGCGCCTCAAAGCCCCCTGACTCCAGCTGCCGCCGCAGGCGGGTCGCCCCACTGTCCGACATCGCCATCGCCATTTCCGTCCGAGACTCACGCAGTCACTGTCACTATCGCCGCCGCCGGTGCCGCCGCTGTGGAGACCCACCCAAGCCCCGCCGAGCTGCAGGGCTGAGGAAGCAGGATGGAAGAGAGACGAGTACGCCTGCGCCCGGGTCTGAGCTTCAGACACCGCGCCTGCGCAGGGGCCGGGCGCAGACACCGCGCCTGCGCAGGAACGCCCGCCGCCTAGGGCTCATGCGCCGGGGGCGCTATTGCGGAAGCGAGTGGAGGGCGAGGCAGAGGGACGTGGGTACTGCGCATGGGCTGAGCGTGACGTTGGTGCTTGAAGTTAGCGGCGAAGCGTAAGGCGGTAACCAGTTTCCTGAAACCTCCCTGGAGTCCAAGCCCTGGGAACCCACGTTTTGAGCCCACTAGGAGGTGTCATGCCGAATTCTCTTTTTTAAGCCCCAGAATCTTGGCTTCGGCGTTTGGGGCAAACTCAGTTCTCGTTCTAGAGCCGGTTATTCCTGAGTTCTCGCGAGACCGGCGGGCGGCCCGAGAGCCGCCCGAGAGCCGCCCGAGAGCCGGTATCTCCTAGGAGCTCTACCAGGCCCTCGGAGCTTCGGAGACGTGGGGCCAGCTTAACGCCGGCGGACACCGGCCGTGATGGATGAGGATCTGGTGCTGGCACTACGGCTTCAGGAGGAGTGGAACTTGCAGGGTTCGGAGCGCGACCGGGCCCAGGCGCCCCTGTCGCTGGTGGACGCGTCCTGGGAGTTGGTGGACCCAACCCCGGATTTGCAGGCCCTGTTTGTGCAGTTCAACGATCAGTTCTTCTGGGGCCAGCTGGAGGCCGTCGAGGTGAAGTGGAGCATGCGAATGACCCTGTGAGTCCCGAGCCCCGCTGGGGAAACGAGGGCGGCTGGCAGCTTCCCTGCAGCCCCCGGCCCTGGGCTTCTCTTCTTTCTCCGCCCCGATGGGCCCGGGGGTCTTGTTTTGGACCGGCAGCTCCTCTCGGTGTATCTCTCTCTTCCCTACTCTGTCTCTCTCCCGCTCGAGCAACTTTAAGAAACCGTGTGTCCCGTCCCGGGAACAGTTTGGTTTGTAGAGGACACAGTGAGAGAAAAGGATGTGTCTTTGGATCTCCTCTGATTTGAAAATAAATTAACACATTTCTGACCCAGGAGGGAGAAGCAACCAGTCAGCCCCTAAGAAAGAATGCCGAGGAGGCAGCGAAGTCTCCCAAGGATGTGTGTTGTCCTCTTCTATGCTCCTTGAGATATCCCCACTTACTAGTGAGCTCAGGTGTTAGAAGGGGCATGGGGTTGACGTTTCCATATTTCTGGACCCAAAGGATCTTCGGGGATGCCTCTAAAAGGATGTGCACTAAGGTTGAGAAATCCCGGTTTGAAATAACTTGTTCCTGCACATGAACGGAATTAACAAGTTTAAGATGGGGTTGTATGCCAGGTGCTTGTTTTTGAAGGGATACAAAACAGCCTAAAGTAAGACATATTAAGATATGACACGAAACTGTGCTTAAAGAACAAATCTTCATAAAGGCTTCGATTACAGTTTTAGAGATGTGCTAATGGAGATCTGGCTGTTAACACAGACTGATTATAGTTTGTAGGGAGGAGACTGGGAGCAGAACAGGATTGTCCTCTTCGGGCTCCTGCAGCCTGCCTGGCTAGGGCAAGGGATGCAGTACTGTTGACAAATCTCTCTCACTGGGGGGAAATGCAAGTATCTCCTAACAAAGAAGGTACACTAGTGTGAACTGCCCGAGAATGTATAAGGATTTACTCTTTCATCTGTATTTCTCTTTTGTGTATATTAGGTGAATGATGCTTTTGTGGTGGTTGTTTTCCAGGTGTGCTGGGATATGCAGCTATGAAGGGAGGGGTGGAATGTGTTCCATCCGTCTCAGTGAACCTCTTTTAAAGTTGAGACCAAGAAAGGATCTCGTAGAGGTATTGTTTGCATAAACTTGATTCTTAGCTGAGTAATTAAAAATGCTTATTACTGATCTAGGCTGCTGTGAGTTAACCTGTAATGTAAAAAAAAAACCAAAAACTTGTTTTTTGTCATTGCAAACTTTAACTGCAGGGCACCTGTTAATGATTACCTTATATTTTTATAGTTCTTCACAGCTAAAGGCTTTCAGGTATATTATCTAATTTGATCTTCACAACAACCCTGTTTTTGTACAATGTGTGTTGTCCTCCTTTTTATAAATGAGGATGTTAAGGTTCAGAGGGCTAAGTAACTGGTTGAAGTTACATATTTAGGAGCAGAGAAAAAATTAGGACCCATATCTTCCTACTGAGGCACACAAATTTTGATAGTTCAGCCACCATGGTGCCGCCCTCCCAGAATATCTACCTGAGCTGGTATAACCACCAGCGTGGGCAAGGGCACGCTTCACTAGCAAAATGGAGCAGTGGGAGCTCCCAGATTATGGTTAGTTGAGTCTAGAAGATGCCTGAAATTCCCCAAGATGCACCCAGTGTGACTGGTCTTGCCCCAGTTATGTCACTTGAAACGTATGCATGAAAGAGGGTAGGGTGGTAGAGATTAGATGGGAAATATGTTAAAACATGCTTGGAAATATGAAAGATGGTGTTTTTAAGGATAGTGAAAGGTAATGGGTTTCAGAACAATGTGAATATACTTCATATTCCAGAACTGTACACTTAAAAATAGTTAAGATGGTAAATTTTATGTTACATGCTTTTTACCAATAATTAGAAAAAAAGTAAATGGTTACTAAGTGTAAAATGGTACAGCAGAAATAATAAAAAAAAGGAATAAAGGAACAAAACCCTGCAAAAAAAAAAAGGCATAAACACAATATCAGTAATTATATTAAATGTAGATGGACTAAGCACTAATTAAAGACATGAAATGACATACTAGATGAAAAGAGATGTGCTTAAGATAATGACATACATGCATTAAATGTAGAAGGTTGGAAAAAAGTATTATCATTCAAACAATAACAGAAAACTTGTATCAGACTAAAGATTTTTTTTTTTTTTTTAAGATTTTATTTATTTGACAGAGAGAGAGACAGCGAGAGAGGGAACACAAAGCAGGGGGAGTGGGAGAGGGAGAAGCAGGCCCCTTGCAGAGCAGGGAGCCCGATGTGGGGCTTGATCCCAGGACCCTGGGATCATGACCTGAGCGGAAGGCAGACGCCTAACGACTGAGCCGCCCACGCGCCCCCCGGAGTTGATAATTTTAAAAGGGATGTTTTCGTAATGACCAAGTTAAAATGTTTGATTCACCCATTTTTCTGTTCAGCGTAATTTGATAAGACTGTGGTTCATTGATGGCAGTCTAGTTCTTCTGATGGAAATTCTTTGTAAAAAAAATTATGAACAAGGTTTGCTCTTGAAGACCTTTATGACTTTCACTTTTTTTTAAGCATATATATTTTTTAAGATTTTATTTATTTATTTGAGAAAGAGAGAGAGGGAGGGCACAAAGGGCAAGTGAGAGGGAGAAGCAGGCTCCCTGCTGAGTAGAGAGCCGGACACAGGGCTTGATCCCAAGACCCTGAGATCATGACCTGAGCCGAAAGCAGACGGTTAACCAACCAAGCCACCCAGGCGCCCTGTGACTTTCACTTTTTAAAAAATGTATTCATATTTCTTTAGGATACATTATTAAATAGCAGCCTTAAATACTTTTGTGAATTTTGCACCTACACTTCTGCATCCTTGGTGTGGAAATGAGCAGTAGGCTGTTGTTTTAATTCAAAGAAGATTTATGTAAATTCAGATGAAATTTGGGCCAATCACAGGATTTACCATCAAATGCTATTCACTAGAGCAGTAGGTTTTCTTGTTTGTTTCGAAATTTTACATGATTCAAAAATCCCAAAACTATAGAAAGCTATACACACAGAAATGTTGTCCTACCCCATCCCTCTCTATGCTGAACTTCCTGACTACTGTAGGATACTGTTGTTATTAGTTTCTTTTTTGTTTCATTTTTCTGTTTTGCAAATTTTTTTTTAAAGATTTATTTATTTGAGAGAGTGAGCGAGCATGAGCCTCCAGGAGGGGTGAGGGAGAGGGAGACAGGACCTCAGGCAGACTCTGTGCTGAGTGTGGAGCCAGATACGGGGCTCAATCTCACAACCCTGAGATCGTGACCTGAGCTGAAACCAAGAGTCAGATGCTTAACCAGCTGTGCCACCCAGGTGCCCCTGTTTTGCAGATATTTATGTCCATTCTTATTCCCTCTCCCAATCACCTAACATACAAAATACTGTGTAGGTTCTTCTGTACTTTGTCCTTTCCATTTAAACAGTATACCCTGTAGGTTTCTCCAAATGATTTCATAGAGATCTTTTTCATTCTTTAAGTCTGTATAGAATTCTGTGATGTGGATTTTCCCTAGTTCCTTCAGCCAGGCCCCTATTGCTAAACACTTACTTCCAGTGTTAACCTTATAAACAGTGCCACAATGAAAATACCTGGTACACATGACCTTTCTTATTAGTCTCGGGATTGCTGGGTCAGAGGATAAATGCATTTGTAATTTTGTGAGATGTTACCAAATTCTCCTCTGTGAGGGTGTGTACCATTTTTCAGTCCCATCAGAGATAGATGGGAATGTTTTTTTCCTTAGCTTTACTAATTGTGTCAAACTTCAGGAGTTTTGCTACTCTAGATAAGCAGGAGTGGCCTACTGGTGTAGCATTAGTTTGTATTTGCTTTTATAAATGAAGTGCACATTTTTTTTCATGTTTATGCTTTATCCTAATTTTTTATCATTTTAAAATTTGGTTTCTATAGCAATGACAGAGACTTTATATCTCTTTTTCTGTGAACCCATCTATGACCTTGGCCCACTGGAAAATTGGGTTGTTGGTCATCTTGTGTTGACTTTCGTAGCTCTTCATGTTTTAAGAATTAGTAGCCTGAGGGCGCCTGGGTGGCTCAGTTGGTTAAGCGACTGCCTTCGGCTCAGGTCATGATCCTGGAGTCCCGGGATCGAGTCCCGCATCGGGCTACCTGCTCGGCAGGGAGTCTGCTTCTCCCTCTCCCGCTCCCCCCTCTTGTGCTCTTTCTCTCTCTCACTCTCTCTCTCAAATAAATAAATAGAATCTTTAAAAAAAAATTAGTAGCCTGAGAGATGCATTGCACATATATCATT